GTGCATCCCACATGCTATTTAGCATCTGATGTAAGCATTAGATACATGCAGTTCTCCTCACCTAGTTCCAGAGCAGAAATAAAAGGAAAATACAAAGTTTATCCAAGCATACTTCAAGCATTATTATGCAGAACACATTGAATTTCTACTTAAAGGAGATGAAAGAACCACACCATGATACCAACCCAAACCTTCCCCATTTCTCCCTCAAGCTCCCAGGTTTAAAAAAGACTCCTTTGTCTTAAATTTATGAATGAGGTTAGGGCTTACAAAAGTCAAGGATTAATAACATTTGCTTGAGCCAAAAACAGTATGATAGGCACTGTGCACACTCCCCTCCAATCCATCTCAAGTCCGAGCTGCAGTACCCCTGCTGCTTTTCCAATCCGAGGCCTCTCACAGGCAGAGGCTGCCAGTGGAGCTGAGTGGTGCCAAACTGTCTGGTGGTTTTGTGATAGAGCCAGATGGGGACTATGGTGAGATGAAGCTCATTTCCACCCATGAGCTGAGCAAAGATGGGGATTTGGGTGAAAAGATGGAGTAGTGGGCCTTTTAGTCTTTACCAGCCACACAAAGATAATGGAAATCAGAACAAATTGGGGCCACCCCCACCCCAGACAACAAATTCTGCACAGAGACTTATGTCTCACAGAAAGGTTTGTTGAGTGAATGTCAGAAAGATCCATAAAATAGCCAAGTAGTATTTACAGTTGATTTTCTGACTTGCAGAAGAGAAGGACTGTCAGAATGGAATGCAAGACAATGCAAAGAATCTTTGGCTGAGATTTTTTCAGGGAATTATAGAAGGCAAGGTATATGTATTAAAACAAGCAGAGCCTAAATGGTTTTAAATTTACCACGTTAGCTCCTGCAATGCCAATTTAAACTATCACTTTCTATTAAAAAAAAAAAGTTTAAATTGGGTGGTATTCAGTTCTGATTTAGAAACTCAATAGAAACCTAATGTTTAAGTCACAGTTGTAGCAGCTGAAACAGTATTTAAAGTTGTAGGCATCCTGACCCAAATAAAAAGGGAAAAAGGAAACCCTTTCCTTTAAAACTATTAGTGTAGACGTGGCTTTAGGGATTGCATCAGCTACTAGGGCTCCAATTTGAGCTTGTTTTTTTTTAAGATATATATTAACATTACAATGGAGAGAAAATAGAATTCTGTTGTGTTTAACAAATTTAATCTATGTGCAGAAGCACTAATCTTGACAGAAAGCTAGATACAGCTAAAACAAGTTCTCTACTCATTTTTAAGTATCCCAGTAGGCTATATTACTATATTACAGAAAAAAAAAAACCCAAACCTCCAAGAAATGTGCAAAACTTTAAATTTCTAAAGCAAAATTTACATATGTCAAGTAAATGCAGTTAATTTCCAAACACATTCTAAATTCAGGTGTCAGTACTCTCGCTACATCACATCATGCCCTCAAATCCACATATTTTTTCATTTTTCTGTAAGCATAGTTTTTACTATATGTGGTTTACTTAGCATTTTTCCAAGTTTTCCTTTTTTAACTCTAAGTTTCACTATCCACATTCTGTTGTTTTTGCTCAGGAAACAACCAAATATGAGACTCACTGCACTTTCCAGTGTGATGGGGGATAAATGAGGCAAAATGCTGCAAACACTGGCTGTCCAGGGGGCATCAGCTGATTGCTGTCTGTACAAACCTTTAATATCACAAAAATTATTAAAGAAAAGTAAATCTCTTTTAGAAAAAGAAGTGTGACTTTTTACAGAGACCTACAGAGTAGAGTAAAAAACAGTTTTATAAAATGTAGCTCCAAAACATTCCACTGCTTTTACCCATAATCTTCTCTAGTGTTTGCTCAAATCAATGCTAGTGGAGCCAAAGAACATATTTCAGAATTCTTCCTGATTGTATGCTGGACTGGTTTTCCACAATAATTTTCAAATATATTGACTCTTGAATCAAAACATGTCTGAACCTCTGATGCTGTACAAATTAAAAATATGCATGTTTCAGCACCTGGGATAAAATCTAAACAAAACATAAGTATAATTCAAGTCCATTCTTCACAAAAAAATAAAAAAAAAATAAAAAATTCAATGTTGTGTTGAAAAATGTGAATTCCACTGTTTTTCAAAACTCTGTTGAGCAGACATGAAGAATGCATAAGACCATATCTATGCATCTATCAGCAGAATAACTTCCATCAAAGTAAATTATTATATAAATTATATAATTATTATATTATTAATTATATATTATTATATTATATTATATTATATTATATTATATTATATTATATTATATTATATTATATTATATTATATTATATTATTCAAATATTATATTATATTATATTATATTATATTATATTATATTATATTATATTATTCAAAGAAAGGAGGTATTCCCAACCTGCAGTTTATCCTGTCAAAGCCCCAAGCTTTGCAGTTATATCATCAAACCTGCTTCTACTGGCATAACTACTTCTTTTTCAGAGAACATTTGATGTGCATGTGCAAAGCTATCCTGGAAAAGAGAGGAACTCAGAGTATGAAGTACATCCACATTAACAGTATTTTGCTAGAAGAGCACATTAGTCAATCCTAGAAGGGTGTTACCAAGCTTTAAGATTTTCTTTGATTTCATCATCAGCACAAGAACCTGCAGGCAAGTTTTGCACTGACAGTGCAGTGGCAGCTTAGAGACCCACAGCAGCCTGACTTTCAGCCAGCACATTCCTCAGCCTCTACGTGGGCAAAGAACCTGGTTTCAGAATCTTCTCAGCAGATCTACACGCCCATAACCACCCAGCTATAGGTCTCACCAACAAGGATGCTGAACTCCTTCCCTGCTGCCAGAAAAATTTGGAATTCTTACCAAAACATATACGTATATAAATATACACATGCATAAAACCAACATATTATTTTCAAGTTTAATTACTTCAATGTCTGCCATTCAGGTTAAGTTCTAGGCCTTGCCTTTATTTTCTGTGAAAGAAAGGAAGGCAACTGTTACAAAACCATCTCAAAAAAGCATAGTGTGGTTTGTTCTTGAATACCAAAACAATATTAAATAGGTCTGTAAATGCTTCCTTATTTTGGTTTCATGCAATGACATGTATCATCACAAACTTCAGCATTGCTGCAAACAGTGCTTAGGAGCATCTGTTTTGTCTTACTGTGTCAGCTAGGGCTGTTTATCAGCAACAGACGGCTGTACACAATAGTGCTTTGCTTGTTAAAGACAAACAGTGTGGGTATTTGATATTCTTTGAATATACAACTTTTCTGTTTTGCTAAAAGCAACTTCTGAATCAGCTCATGCATGAATCTACCTGCTCTAGAAAAGAACAACCTCAACTTAAAGAAGGACAAAAGAGGGTGAAATAAAGTTTATTCACATATTTTAATAACAACACTATCTTCCCATCTGTTTACCAAAGTACTGAAATTCAAAGTCGTGAGATAAAAACAAATTCCTTCATTTGAGGCAAGAGATCTTGCTGGTTAATCATTTATACATCATTTACATCTGTAGTTACCCAAAGAAACAGGAACAAATAAGAAATGGACTGGACCTCAGAGGAGCAGTGGGATGGAAAAGTGAAGCAGTGGCCCAGCAGATGTGGTCTGAGTGCTCTGGCTGTATATCACATAGGGAGAAAAATCATTTCCCAAGGGAGCAATTCCTCCTGCATTTCCCCAGTATCTGCTGTGCTGGTAGGGAAGCAGTGGAGCCCCTCAGCATGTGTGATGTGCTGCTGATAACTCTAGCATTACTTTTGCCTGTCATCAGAGAAGTAACAAGCACATTATTTACAGAAAATGGCATTCACTCCCTGCTAACCCAGAACACACTGCTTCAAAGGCTTACACTCACGAGCTTGATTTTTCTGTAACACAGTGAGTACATTCACACTGCAATCTCTCAGTTGCTTTTCCTGCCTAAGTAGACCATAAAAAAATACATGGTCAAAGAAAAGGGTTTTTTTAATGTACTAGTGAATGCCAGACAAAATCTGCTATTATACTTGTTTATACCCTTCGAGAATTTTTTTCTGACTTTGAAACTTCTGTACCTCAAAAGTCTGTGTCACAATTTCCTTTTCTGTTCAGCATTCATCTGAATGCACAAATTCAGAAAGAAACTCAACTCCATTACCTTTCAAGGAAACATTTTCCTAACTTACAGCCATAGACACCTTAAAAATATTGTATTAAGAAAAGTTAAACACCTCTAAAATTTAGTATTATATATTTAATATATGTTACATACATAATATATGTTATTAATTATATATTCTATACGCAATATTATCTTTGGATAACTAAGAATGGGGTAGGTGCCCAACTTTTAGCCTCTAGGTTTGACTGCATAAACTTTAAATTCCTACAGGAAAAAGTTTTTATCTATATTTCCATCTACCACTGAACACATAGTGTCATTTAATAACAAGGCTTGAGCTTACAGCAAATGTTGAACTCAATTATTTTTTAAATAGTTGGGCTAGGATTCAAACAAGAAGTAATGTGGATTTTTATACTCGCAGTCCTTTCTCCAGGAGCTGAGGATCTTGGATATCCTACTTGCCAAAAAGACCGACCACCTTCAGTACTGAAACCTGGCATTAAATACAACACAATATTTAATAATTAATATATGGGAGTTATTATGGGTAGGATTGTGATCTGGATCACGACTCTCTAATGCCACTACAACACACATTGCAGGATCATCTTCTACTTATATGAAGGAAATGGAAAGTGACTATGAGGACAATACCCAAATTTCAGCTAGAGCCTGTGACTTCTGGAAATCATTTAGTCTTAACCACTTAAAATCACAGTTCCTGGACAACAATGCATAGTTGAGCTTCAGTTTTTTCAAAAAATATACACATGAGAAAGAAGAAAGAATTGTTAAGACAATCTGTACCAATACACAGAACTGTATTTTACAGAACTAGAACAGAGAAACTTAATCCTACAGTTACAATATATTAAATGGTACCTGGCAGGAGCTGTTGGGTAAATTACTTTTATATGTTGAAATGCCATGTCTTGATTCAAAATTTGTTTTATCCATGCTCTTGCTCCTTGGCCAGTATCACCTGTATCACACAGAAGAGTACAAGAATTATTCTGTGCATTTAGCAAGAAAATTATATAATGTCAAATATACTTCAGATTGACTTAATTTTAAATTATGAATTTAATACACTAAAATGCTAAAAAATAACTTTCTAGAACAACTTCAGTCCCCTTTCCAATGGACTCAAAACTTCCTATAAAAAGACCACTTAAGAGATCCCACAACATAAGTTTAATCAATACTTTACTACATTCTAAGCAGACACAAGGCCTTATATCTTACTTACAGTTCACCATATTTGCTCTTAAGTGATAAACAAAAGCTTTGATGAATATCTTAAAAAGTGAGGTAAAATAACTGTTGCTCCCCTTAGAAAAGTTAATTACTTTTACCAAAGAATTTTATGTTAACCCACTTCAGAACCCAGTTAAAAACACTTCTCATTTCATTATGCTAACATTGCACATAGCCTTTAAGGGAAAAGACAATTTATAAAGAGATAGATTAATTTAAAATGTCTAGCAGACTCTTAAAGAAACTTTAATCACACAGTTCTGTTTGAAAACTAGTTGAGATGCACTCCCAATATGGTTTTTTTCCCCCGGTCTTACCAATGCAGCCTATGGCCAAAACCCCTGCAGACTGAGGTGCTATGAATGGGAATTCTTCTGTAAATAGCATTTTCTCCTTTTAAACTAATCTACATATATATATGTATGTATATATATATATATATATATATATATATATGCACACACATATATATAGACAGTGTCTCCAGCTTGTCTTTGCACCACTGGTATTTTCAGCTATAACATCACTGCCACCCCTCTGAAGAGAAGGCATACACAAGTCCTCTGTGTAATACAACACTTCAAACTTAAGGGAACCGATCCATCAAGGAATATAGTTTACAGTAGGAAGGATGTTTAACGTAAAAAAAATTGAGCAGGGGCTCAGCAAACTGGAATTTCACTATTGCCACTTTTGCCATAGGACTTCGGTCTTGCTTGAAGCTGAGGTTCCCACATATTATCAACTCAAATTGCTAATATTCTCTATTATTTTACCTCAAATTGTTTGGTTTGATGTTAGAACTTACCTCATCATTTTCAATACAATGGCCAAGCCAAAAGTAAAAAATATCTCTGTCCCTAGCCAGGCTTACTGGCACATTACATGGGCTCATTTGAACAATGCCACATGAATATAACAATTCATTGTTAAAACTATTATAATTCCCCAATGGAGAAAATCTGCTCCTAAGCACTCCAACAAAATTCAGCTGCTTTTATTTACAAATATAATGAATGTATCTTCAAAATTAATACAGAAATCAAGAAGGATTCAAACCCAGCAATTTTTTTCCTCTTAAGCACAATTAGCATAACTAGAACTAACTGTTCTCTGACCTAAACATTCCATGTGACAAATAAAAAACAGGGTTGCAAAACTAACACAAATCTTATCCTGTGCTAAGCTAAACATTAAAATCAAAGTTACCACCTTAACTGGATGCCTCAGAACACACCCTCACAAGCACTTTTCTTATGCAAGTACTGGGGTCTGAAGTCCAAACACACCTCTGATTTTTCACAGACACTCTTGACAGACAAGGTTTTCCTGAAGGTTGTTGTCACCTCACTTATAAACAATGTATCTTAGGGAGGCTTGAACTATCATTTTTTTTTTCCCTATACACTGCTTTTTTTCACTTAGAAAGCCAGGGTGAGGCCTTGCAAATACCTGCACAGAATGAACCCTCAGATAAGTCAACCAACTATCTGAATGATTACAGAATTGAGACCTGGGCCTTTACAAATTCCTTAATAACGTAGGACAAATCATTATTCTATTATTTATTCCCACCTCTTAAGCTTCACAAAGATCTGCAGAAACATTTACTGTTATTGAAGACAGTTTGTCCATTAAAAGGTCACAGAAAATTCCGTAAGAGAAAATTTAACGATGACCTTCTGTATGTCAAAACCTGTCATGGTCCAAATGCTACTCAAACATGTGAGCACTTGTATGCTCAGATAATGTATTTTGACTGCTAGGAACAGAACTTGGAGGAGAGGGAGGAAAAGAGGAAACTGACATCAAACAAAAGCCAACAAACCTCCTGAAATGCAAGTCTTTCAGGCTCTTTTGAAATTTTAGCATTATATGTTCTGAACACTACAAAAAGAAGCAAATGATGAGTGATTCTGCTTTGAGTCAGTTTACAAACTGAAAAAGACTGATGGAAGCTATATTATCTTCTCCCTCCTCAAGTAAAATATTACTTTCTTTACTTTCAAATGTAGCTTGTATTTCCAAGTTTTCTTTCTGTGTAAAGTTTAAATTTAACAACATGTAACATGTAGACTGAACATTAGGAAAAATTTATTCACCAAAAGGGCTTTCAGGCACTGGAAGAGGCTGCCCAGGAAAGTCACTGAGTCACCATCCCTGGAGGTATTTAAATGATGTGTAGATGTGGCACTTAAGGACATGGTTTAGTGGCAGACTTGGCAGCATTTGGTTAATGCTTGGACTCGATGTTCTAAAAGGTCTTTTCCAGCCCATGATTTTGTGATTGTTACGACACGGCAAAGTTGTAATCTTCAGCCTAACAAATTATTACATACTTGCTATGTCCATTTGTCTTCCTGCCAAGCTACCAAATGGAACCTCTACCTAAATCTGATACCAAGATTGCTCTAATATTTTTCTATACCATTTTTCATTTACATGCTGCCCTTGTTATAGTTTGTCTAGAGCAAGCATTGTGAACAAAATGGATTCGTGCCATTTGACTGCCACTTTCCATCACAAGTGCTGTACAAAGGTTTACAACACAGGTTTACAGGCCAGCCCACAGCAAGAGCACTGTGGCAACTTCTGTTCTAGACTCTATTCTGCATAACTGCTAGAAACCAAATAAAACCATCCCATTACAAACATTATGAATAAAGTCATATTAAAAAAAAAAAAAAAAAAGAGAGAGAAAAATTGTAGAGTACTTTAACCACATGTGGAATCAACCTCTAACCATAATCTCCCCTTACTCCTCCAACATTAGAGGAAACTATTTCCTTAAGCATTAAAGCATTAGCATTAACAAGAAACTTGAACACATAAACTCTTTCACTTTCATTCTTTTACTCACAGAATTTTTAAAAAACAAAATTATAAAAATGAAACTAATTTAGTAAGGACACACATCTTTGTTAAATTATACAGAAGCACCAGCTAAAAGCAAAAGTAAGCAAAAGACAGGGAAAGTGTTGAGCATGTTGCCATATGCACATGGGTAGCTCAGTAGTATTGATTCTCAAGGCCTTGTTCTACTAAAGACCTAAAATTACTGATTTTTTTTTTTCAGTGTCATGTGGACCTTGTTGCTGTTATTCAGCTCACTAGAAACAGCTTTTAAGGAATTAAACCGAACAAAACACACGCTCCCCTCCTGCCCTCAGACCTGTCACTGATGTACATAACTCCCCTCTGCAGAGGGTGGCCATGAAGCCAGTCTGGACATGGACAGGGCCCTTCTGAACAACCAGAAATCGGTAAATGAACGCGGGTTTTAAAAGGGTGCCAAGAGTACTCTCATGCCGATTCTAAAACAGCAAGAGCCACTTTAACTGTGAAAGTCATGCTCTGAACGTGGCTGCCCTCCGAGAGAGGCAATTTAGGGAGTAGCAGGGCTCGGGGAAACGGGATGAAGCATAAGGCCGGTTATCTGGAAAAGGTTTTTCACCCAGAGGATGGCTGGGCACTGGAATAGGCTTCCCAGGGAACTGGCCACAGCACCAGGCAGCCTGACAGAGTCCGAGAAGCCTTGGGACAGTGCTCTCAGGCACACGGTGTGACCCTCAGGGTGCAGGGCCAGGAGCGACGATCCTGATGCGCCCCTTCCGACGGAGCATGTTCTGTGATCTCCTGGAACTCGTGTGTTCCCAGGGAAGCCGGTCCGGTGTGAGCCGGCGCCGTCCCTGTTGGACCCTCTCCGGGCACCCGCACACGGCTTTGCCGCCCACCGCCTCCACCTTCCGGGCCCGAGGAGGGCAGAGCCGCGGGGACAGGGTCACTGCAAAGCGCCTCCCCAGCCCTGGCGGCCACCCCGTCCCGCCGCCCCCCTCCCGCAGCACCGGAGGGGCCGATCCTGCCCGCTTCACCCGCTCCCCGGAGAGCCCCGTCCCCAGGGGCAGCGGGGAGAGAAGGGAGGGAAAGCAGGCACCTGAGCCGTGCAGGAAGATGAGGGAGGCGGANGCTGCGGGCGCCGCCATGGCCAGCGCTCTCCTCCCACTCCGGGCCAGCCCTGCCGGTTCCGGGCCTGCAGCCGCCTTGTCTCCGCCCCCCGCGCCTCTCCTGAGGCAGCCCCGGCTCTCCTGGCGCCGGGCTAGGAAAGTTCTCCCTTTCGACGCTGTGCTCGGTTCTCAGAGGTTGTTTACAGGCACTGCGGACTCCCTGCAGACGCTGCATTTAGCAGTGCGCTGTGACAGGGACCGGTCCGCCTCTGTGGTGTCGCACGTGAGAGAGAGAAAACCCCGCGGGCGTGTGCCCCAGTGGACTCAATCCCTTTATTCGAGTAAAGTTGCAGGGCTCCTCTGTCTCCTTTCTGGACATAAACCTCTGGTGTTTGTGGATTTTCCTGACACACGTGTGCGGGGAGGTGTGGGGCTGAGGCTCACCAGGAGCAGCCCTTCAGTGGCAAGGCCTGGCTGCGGGAGAGCCCAGGGGAGGCCCAGGAATGGCGCTGGTGGCTCCTTCCAGGCGCTTCAGAACGTGAAGGACCCGCAAGGAGCACCATGAAAAAGGTCCCGCAGACATTTGAGAATTTGTCCCACCTTAATCAATGTCTAAGAACAGCTATCCTGATGCTCCTGCTAGTCTCTACCGAACTGCCATAAAATGGTGTAAGGAGTAGGAACTTACTTTTGCGCTTTGAGGTAACCCATACACGTTCAAGGTCATATTTATTTTATTTTATTTATTTTTCCCCGCTAGTGCTGCGCAGATTAGCCATCTGCTTCAGCGCTTTGAGGTCGGCGACAGTGGGACGAGGATGGCCGGCCATAAAGCGCAGTGTCGCCTTTTGCCCGGCCAGGTGCAGCGCGACCCGGGGTGAGCGGCGAGTGCACGGATTAGTTTTGCAGTTCATCACAGCGAGTTTTGGCAAGGCACAGGGGCGCACCTGCTAGTTCTTAAAGATGTAATGAAACCCTAGCCTCTTGAGGTAGCACGTTATTACCTTCAGAATGGCCCGTGGGTTAAGTAGATGAAACATCAGTGTGTGTGTAGTATGAGGAGCACGCTGTGCTTGTATTTCTGTTCAAATTACTGTCCTGACTACTCTATTCCTGTTTATTTAGGCCATGAAATCTTAGGGCCCTGGTTAAATGTAGACTAACAAACAGCATGTTATTTTGCCCCTCTAGAATGTATGCAGCTGTATTTTTAATATATCTGAAAGTGTTCTGCAGTGAGGCCAAGAAGTAAAGAGAAGGGGGAAAAAATCCGATAGCTGGGGAAATGAATAAATTGCATGGTGGGAAGGGATGAAAGGTATATATAAAATTTTCTGTGGTGTCAGTTGTGCAGTTGAGGAATACAAAATCTCAGCAATGTAGTGCCAAAATGAATAAGTCAGTATTGATGGAGTTTAGTAGCTAAGCCACACCTTTCTTTTCCTTTGACTTTCAGTACACAAAAATAGTTGTGGCATTTGAGCCATTAAGGCTCATTTATTTTATTAGCTTAGAAGGAAAATTTAGTTATTGTTATAATACAGGGTCACTCAATTATGCTTATTTGCAATATTTTATTTGTCTTACCATCTTTCATGAGCAATGTCATTTTTTGAGGATTATTACATGTGAAGAGTTACTAAACAAAGGTACATCACTGATGTGTGGCTTTGGGCACACGCTTCTGCACAGTTATGGCAACAAACCATGATCAAGATTTTTTAAAGCTTATAAATTGTCATTCCCTGCCTCTGAGTTACAAGCTTGGAGGTACAGGATTTCGCTGTGCCAACAAATAAAGCTTGATGCCAGGAACAAAACAAAGAATAAAATATCACACCATGTAAAAATAGTACTCAAGGTTTGAAGGATTTTGTCTGTTGTTTTTTTGTTTTGCTTTTCTGGGTTTTTTTGAAGAGAAGCAGTCCAGGCATAAGATTTAGCCTTTTTTCTGTGAAAAAGAAAAAGCTAACTTTATCTTTCCCTGAATAGAGGGTACTACAGGGCTGGCTTCAGGGGAAAGACTAATAGTTTTTTAAAAACAGTCATCTACATAGAAACTTGCAAGAGAGTAGGAGCTCTGAACAAACATAAATGCAAAAGTGGTGTGTTACAATTCGAATGACAACAAATATACTCTAATAACTGGTTATTTATACCTGAAGAAAATGTTTTCTTGGGTTGCTTTTGAAGTGTATTAATTATATTGAATATTAAAGATATTAAATGACATTTAATGATTTATGACATTTAATTATTTTTTTTTTACCCACAGTCTTAATGGGTCTCAATTCTCTCCCTAGGAAAAACTCTTCAATGGGTCTGAATCAAGTTCTCAGACTTGGCCAGTAGATGATTCTATTGTTTATAGACTCTTTTCCTGGTTAGAGGAATAAGAGTCCCCTTCCAGGAGAGAGATTTCAATGAAGCCATAGAAATCATGGCTCCTAAGACCTAGCCTTACTAGCTGGAAGGACTCTCCTGAAGGAATTAATACTATGTTAATAACTGTAGAAGATTATAGGCAATATGGAAAATACCTCGCAAATTTTGTTAAACTAACATATGCTTAACTTGTAATGCTTATGATGTTTTACAAGTCTTTCACTGGTAACATGTAACATCTTCAGAAGGAATTTATTACATTTCACAGCATTAATAAAATGTGATCCCACACCCTTAAAAACATATTCTGTTGCAATTCCTTCTCTTTTTATTTTTTTTTTTTTCCTGGCCTTAATGAAATGAACAGATTACATTGTGACTTAAATGTGGAATAAATATGGAAATGTAAATATGTGGCCATATTTAAGTTTTTCAAAGAAAATAATTTTGTTGTTGTTGTTGTTTTGTTCCTTAGGATAGGCCCTTGCTCTAAGTACTCACCGATTGGGTTCTGTTCTCTCACACTGACTCTGCTCAGGAAAAAACAGAAGACTTTAATTTACTTGAAATCATTTTGATACTTTTTCTCATTTAAAATGGCTTTGCACTTTAAAATTGACTTTAGCTGAAGGCAGTATGTTGCAGAGTAATTTTTATGTTCAGCATGTGTACATCTATAACATCCAGAAACACTGCTACAGCTGTATATGCAGAGCTAAAGCTCCTGCCCTTGATATTGAAAAATAGTTTTCAGGTATTGTACAGTTACTGTTGGGTTTCTTTTAGAAGGTGAGTTAATCCATAGATGCTTCGCTGGTGGTTACAAAGAATTATATCTGATTTTTAATTGATTGTATTATAATATATAATGTATACAATACTTATGATTATATTACTATCGAATTATTATATATCTAGGTGATTTTACAGAAGCAGAGATTTTGGTGTGGAAATAAAAATTCCAAGTGTTTGAAACTTTTCACATCCCCCCTTTATTTTTTTTCTCAGTAGTATGGCATTATCATCATCACCATATCTGAAGATGACATAATTGAGTGAAGCTGTCTTACATTTGTTTTCTTCATTATTGAGTGTTCAAATTAAATGCTGAATTTGACTTTTTGTACATTTCTTCCCTCTCCTACCCTTCTGCCAGGGCTCAAGGTTCTGTCCCCTATTTTCAGACCTTCATGCCAGTTACTGTGGTCTGATCAAAACAAAAAACTCTCCTCTAATTTGCAGGTGGTTTCATTTATTGGAACTCAGTGGCAGTACTTTGACATAGAATTTATATTTTTATCTTTCTTCTTTCAGTATTCATCTTGGCATAGTTTACTCTGAAAAGTTCTTGTCAAGAGCTCTTTGCACAACTGCTACAGTAGAGGTAGGAAGTGCCACAGAAATTACTATTCAGGCGCACAACCTAGTGGTCCATTTATCATGCAAAACTAATCATACTCAAACCAAGCCAAACAAAAAATGTATTTCCATTCATACTTTTTTAGTTGAACAGTTGAGTCTTTAGCAAATTATCAACTTTCAAAATACATAAATTTTGAAAAGTTGATTTCTGTCCAGTCAGAAGTATATTTTGGGTCTGCATTCTCCTGTTCCTTAGTAGAAAAAAAAATAAAAATAAAAATCCCTGACTGGGCTACATCAATAATGTTGTGCATCATAGGTAAGATTTAGTGTGGAGTTGGGTAAGGGATGTCAGTCTACAAGAGAAAAGCACGTATGAATACTGTCTGTCAAAGTGGGATCTTGACACAATGTTTCTAGTTACCCAGAACAAGGTAAACAAGTAATAAATAAGCAGATCATGTTCTTCCTGGCCCAAAGGACAATTAGTATTTAGGGTCTTATGAGATAATTTTGCTAGCAGGAGACATATATTTACTGCATGCCATCCAATTTCTTTAAACACAAACAAGGGCTCCATCCCAGGGACAACAGGAGTTAGTTCCCTTCTTCAGGAATCTGAGCCTGCACCTAGCCAACAAGCTGCCAAAACAAATCCAGGCTTGGCTATGTTTGTGGTGCCTGTGTGTTTCTTCTGCTTGTTCTTTGCAGCAGGTTTGGTGTTTCTGAATCATTTAAACATCCACTCAGCTGCTGCATCTGCAGTCACCTTCCAGGCAAGCTCCTTGGCCCATCTTGTTTAGCTCAGAGCCTGCTGGAGCCTGGAGGGATGTTCCTTGAGCAGCCCTCCCCAAAGAATTTCACAGACATCTTCAGGGCTTACCAAAATCATATTAACAGTATTCTTAGCAAATAGTGAAGATACTTTCTATTAATATCTCAACTAGTGGTGTCTGCCTTTTATTTAAAATGTTGTTGTGACTGGTTTTACATGGGTTTGAAAGTTGCTAGTAGAGCTGGTTTATGTATCAGACAGTATTTCAAACATTTTCCTGCTGGGCAGTGGGAGAGCATGGGAGATCTTCTGCAGAAGTGTTGTGGAAGGGTTTGGCTCCATGGGGAATCAAAGATCCTTCATCAATTTAATCTGTTTATGTGGCAAGTTGGTTACACCTCATAATTTTGTTGTATTTTGGTATTTCTCTCAAGGACCAGTGTTGCGTATATGCTACTGAAGGCAAATCTCAGGTTCTTGCTGCCTTAAAAGAACATAGGCACTATAAATGGAGAAA